CTCAACTCACAATTTTTTATCAGCTAGACTAGACCTAACATTAAAAAAAGGCAGTCTGGGTTTTTGGTTGGACTAACGGCATTTAACCTTCCCCCTCCCCCATCAGTGGGTTGGAAGAGGCCAGTTATGCCAAAAGTTAGTGGATTTGACAGTTTTATAGATTTCAAATGTTAAGTTTTCGTGGAATTGAGATGTGAATGTAGGAGCAGAGTTTTCTGAATCTGGATATGGAGTTGATGGAGATATTCCTTGGTGAGTAGCAGAAATTCCCCATGGACTTTATAAATCTGAAGCAGATAAAAGAAATAAACCAAACTTTATAGTTTTGACGAGTGACAAAATTTGTCAGGAAGAGCTAGATATTAAGTAATTAGCTTTTAAGAAGTGGAGCATAAATCATTAGCTGTGGAAATTGGAAGAGGATCAGAGACAATCATATCTGAGATACTGGCCTAAACTTGTACTGAAAAAATAAGGTTTTTGTTTTGTTTTTCTTATTTTTAAATCAAGGGAGATAAAGCTTGTAGAGCCCCACACTCCCAGGAACCCTGAGGTAAAGGGTACACATAATGAGGCAGGACACTTGGGATGAGAAGTGGCAGTTGCTTTGGCGTATGACTTGTTTCGCTGTCCTAGAATGACAAATATGGTGAAGAGAAGTGTCACAGCTGAGATATGAATAAGGCAGAAGGTTGGAGCTGAGAAGGGTGACAAACTAATGCACACAAAGGTTCATGCGTCACTACAACTATTGTACCTAGGTGTTCTGAACCTATGAGTTCAGGCTTCTGATTTTTTAAAATTCAGAAACATTCTAGTTATTACTTGTTACCATAGACAATAGTATAAGCCCAGGAGAATCGGGTAGTAGCCATTGCTTAGTCTTTTTTTATGCCACAGTGCCACCTCTAGGATTCTTACAGGAACTACATGCAGAAGTTACCAAATCTGTCGGAATCCTGTCTACACAGGATTAGAATCACAGGATTTCAGAGGTGATGGGACTTAAAGGTCATTCGAGGCAAGTTCTACCCAAAGCTTGAATCAAAAAAAAAAAAAAGATGAAAGAAAAAAAGAAAGAATATATATATCTCTTTGGCCACACAGTGCAGCTTGGGGGATCTTAGTTCCCCAACCAGGGATTGAACCCAGGCCCTCGACAGTGAGAGCGCAGAGTCCTAACCACTGGACTGCCAGGGAGTTCGCACTTTTACAATATATTTGATTAGTGGTTGTCTAAATTCTGCTCGAACCTCTTCAGAGGTTGGAAACACACTCTCATGAAGCAGTCATTCTATTCATGTGTTCACATACTTCTACTTCCCACTCTGGGCTTCACCACTTCCTTCTGCAGTACTGGGCCTCCTGGTCCTAGGCCTTTTCAGGGTTCTTAGAGATGAGCTGGCTTCATTCTCATTGGCATCCCTCTTTGCAAGCACTTTGGTGGTGGGTTTTGCCAAATCAGTTACTATTGGCTTTCCATCTTTCAAATTATTGCTTACATCTCCTCTTCTCTATTTCTCCTCTCCAATTCTCTTTGTTTTTGTGATTTTTAATTTTATTACAAATTATCTATTGTCATTTTGGTAGCTTCTGGAAGAGAGAAGAAATAAAAGCAAGAAGTAAAACCACCGTGTTTAATTGGAAGCCTAGTCATGTTTTTCTGATTCTGTTCTTATGCATCAAAAAATGTAAGTGTAGGGTTTTGCATTTATTCCAATTAAGATTTTTATTGTTAAATTTGGTTTGTTATAGGCTTTGGGTCCACACTCTTCCATTCAAGATATTTGGCTACCTCTCCAGCTGTCGAAGAAGAAAAGCAAGTCAGCTGTACACTCAGCTATTACTCAGTGAGCAGTTCAAGGCTGAAGACAGAATTCCGCGGTACCGCAGACTCTGGGCTGATACTGATTCATAATTAGCATCTGTCTTTGTGATCTCTGGGCCACATTCCTCCATCTTGTTCACAGGTGAGGGTCTCTGTCAAATGCTGAGCTCAAATGATAAAGCAGAGTGTCGACAGCTTTCTCTGATTTACTAATCTGGCAGAGTATGGATAAGAAAGGAAGTGCTGGGCTTCCCTGGTGGCGCAGTGGTTGAGAGTCCGCCTGCCGATGCAGGGGACACGGGTTCGTGCCCCGGTCTGGGAAGACCCCACATGCCGCAGAGCGGCTGGGCCCGTGAGCCATAGCCGCCGAGCCTGCGCGTCTGGAGCCTGTGTTCCGCAATGGGAGAGGCCACAACAGTGAGAGGCCCGGGTACAGCAAAAAAAAAAAAAAAAAAAGAAAGGAAGTGCTGTGAACTTATTAAATCTTGACTTGTCCTTCCTGACTCCTAGGCATGTTTAAGTGCTCTCCATTCCTCTCTCTGTGTTCAAAATTGTGTTTGATAACCTGTCTGAGAATTGTGTCATCCATCCCTGACCCAGTTTCTAAGATTCTTTTGAGATAACAAACAGTAGCTCATTTTATTGCCAAGTTCTTCCAGTAGTAGGCTGGGATGTAGTTTGTTAGTACCAGAAGGTTTACACTGAGGCAGTGAATCCAGGTGCTGTCTTGGAATCTCTCTACCAGTTTGGATTTTTAGGTCTCTCATCTGAATGCTTGTCCTACTGTTTTTTGTCCAATAATCTTTCTCCTTGTCAGAGATGGAAGATGGAAAATAGAAGAAATGTTCCATGAACTATGTATCTGCCCCTATTATCATTCCTTTACTTGCCTTGTTCTTATAACTCCTGTATAATCTCAAAATGTCATCTGTAACATTTGAAAGTTTATAGTAGGGCACTCGGGTTTACAAAGAACTGAGTTATTCAACATTTCTGATCTTTATTAAATGGCTTTTTATTGGGTTGGCATTATTGTAATCTATGCTTTGTAGGGTTTAGAGTGGAGATTTTGGCTTAGCAACTCATGATTTAAACTCACATTCAGGAAGAAACATGTTTCAAAATTCCTTATAGCTTTTTCTTAAATTATCTGCCTTTCCTACACATGGGATAGAATCTGAAGTTGTTTGGCTGGGCAAAGGGGGGTTGAATTTCTTCATTGTGCCCCTTTAGATCTGTTTTCCATCTTTCTCCATACTGGTCCCTGCCCTGTGAGGTTGTCCTGCATGGATTACATCAACGACGGCTATGTTTTCTGGCTTTCTTCAGGAGATGGGAGGGAGGGAGAGAGGTACATGGGGTCAGGGCATTCATTTTCTTCCCGTGAGGTTGCCAGAGGCCACTGTGTCCCTCAGCAGAATGTCATTGCTCTTGTCTAGGTGGCCCGCTCTGTACAACTCTCTCTCTTTCTGAAATGGAGCAGGACCCTGTGGGGCCCTCCTGGGTACAAATCCTTTCCATGTCCTCCTGTTTCTTCTTTGTAGGAAATAGGCTTCATTCACCTTTCTTGACCTTCCTTGAGTTCCAAAGGGCGATTCAAATTTGCTTATCAGGGAAGAGAATGCAGAAACAAAGAAGGAACAATCAAAAAACAATAGTGCAGCCTTGGGGCAGCATTCTAGTTCTTCCTCAAAGAAGATACATAAACAATACCTTTGAGGTCTGCAGGAACTAAGGCCGCCACTCAGATGGAGGATGGCAACTTCACCCTGAGCACAAGATTCCTGGAACACCGCCCTATTACCTCACCACCAACCAATCAGAAGAAAGTCTGCACACAGAGGAAGACTCTGACCCCTCCCCAAATGATTGACTTCCCTTTACAAAACTTTCTTGGTCAAGCAGAATCTTCTGAGTTGGTTTTTGGACATGAATCCACCTTGTCTGCAGGCTGCTGGCCTCCTCAATAAGGTGACCTTTCCTTTTCTTTCCAACCAACACTTGGCTTTCAAGTGTTGAGCAGCTGAACCTGAGTTTGGTAACATTTCTAGCTTCAGGCAAGCTCTCCTTCCCATTATTCCTTTGGGGATTGTGGCAGCTCTACTGCTTCTGTCTCTTACGGATCCCCTATGAGACAGAAAAGAAGAGGGCAGGGCATAACCATTAAAAGAATGACACAGCTGTTGAGAATATTATAAAAACTGGTTAGAACCAACTAGGCCCAAGAGAGTGGAAGATTCCACTTCCCATAGACCTTCAGCCTCATTATACGCTCATTGTAATACATCAGCTAAATGACAAATCCACAGCCACCTGTTCTCCTTGCTTGGGCTTTGCAACAAACCTTTCTCTGCTCCAAACTCTGATTTCTTTTTTCTTTTTCATCTTATTTCTTTCTTCCTTTCTATTTTTTTGAACTCCATGAAAACTATTTAAAGTACTTGTAAATATAATTGGTTCACCAGAAATAAATAGTTCTCATTTGCATGATATCATTACCTACAAATGAACAGAAACTAATGTATGGTCATTGTAAAAAACACAGATAACCCATAAGTAGAAAAAATCTCCCATAGTTTCACTCCCTGTTATTAATACATTGATATATTTCTATCTAGTACATTTTCTGAGCATAGGTATATATCTATCTTCTTTCCTTCCATCCTTCCCTCCCACCCTTCCTTCTCTCTTTTTAATTTAATTTAATTTAATTTATTTATTTTTGGCTCCTTTGGGTCTCCGTTGCTGCACGTGGGCTTTCTCTAGTTGCGGTGAGCAGGGGCTACTCTTCGTTGCGGAGCGTGGGCTTTTCATTGCGGTGGCTTCCCTTGTTGCAGAGCACGGGCTCTAGGCGCATGGGCTTCAGTAGTTGTAGCACGCGGGCTCAGTAGTTATGGCTCGTGGGCTCTAGAGCACGGGCTCAGTAGTTGTGGTGCATGGGCTTAGTTGCTCTGCAGCATCTTCCTGGACCGGGGATCAAACCTATGTCCCCTGCATTGGCAGGAGGATTCTTAACCACTGTGCCACCAGAGAAGTCCCCCTTCCTCCTCGCTTGCTGATCTCCTTTTAAAAATTTTTTTAGAAAATTATTTAATTATTTTTTATTGAAGTATAGTTTTGTTTTTGTTTTTGTTTTTGTTTTTAAATTTGGTTGTGCAGTGTAGCTTGTGGGATCCCTACCAGGGATCGAACCCGGGCCGCAGCAATGAGAGTGCTGAGTCCTAACCTCTGGACCATCAGGGAATTCTCAGAAGTATAGTTGATTTACAATATTGTGTTAATATCTGCTGTACACCAAAGTGACTCAGTTATACACACATATACATTCTTTTATACATTCTTTTCCATTATGGTTTATCCCAGGATATTGAATATAGTTTCCTGTGCTATACAGTAGGACCTTGCTGTTTATCCATTCTATATGTAAGAGTTTTTGCATCTACTAACCTAAACTCCCAGTCCATCCCTCCCCCACACCCTCCCCCTTGGCAACCACAAGTCCATTCTCTATGTCTGTGAGTCTGTTTCTGTTTGATAGATCAGTTCATTTGTTCCATCCTATTTCTGCTTGTCCCATAGTCCACCAAAATTTTTTAGCAAACCCTTATGTCCTGCATCATTTAGGTAATAACTATTTCCTCCCACCTCTCATAGAGAAAGTGTAATCCTTTAATTCACATTTGAAATCCCACCCTCTTTTTCCTCAGCAGCTTTGAGGCCCACATCCCTTCTCTCATGTCTCAGCCCATCATTTTTGAATGTGTATCCCCACCATGCTCTCTGCATGTCCAGGGAGAGTCTGTGATTTGTTAAAATGTCTGAGATTGGGTTGGCTGCCTTCGTTCTAAGACTGAGAGGACAAACGTGGTTTATTCAGGAGTAAAACGTTCTTTGAAGCCAGGGACATGAAGAGCCTTTGCAACATTCTTTTCAGAGTGGCTGGGTGGTTATCCCAAGCCCACGGAAATGAGGAAGGACAGGAAAAGAGTCTTCCAGCAGCTGAGATGGTGTCGGGAGCTCTGCTCCTTATCACATCAGCACACTCTCGTCCAGCTGAACTTTTCTGAAGACGGATTTCACAACATTTGCCACCTTAGAACTCAACACGTGTGTTATTTCCTGTCAGTTTAACTTCTCCAAACTTTTGTTTAACAATAACCAGAAATTCTCAGAAATAGGAGGATACTGCAAAGCTGCTCTTCCTTATCACCACCCTGTCATTTCCCTGGAGTTCCTGAAACAATACAAATGATAGCTCTTAGAAAACGCAAGAAGTCAGGATGGGGCAGGGGGCCCTCCCTGCATGGCCCCTCCATTTCTTTGTCAGCCCTCATGAGTCTATTATTTGACATTGTTAATGTATCCATCCCTCTTTGTGAGTGACATTTCCTAATTTTTTTTTTTTTCCAACAGAGCTTGTTCTGTATCCAGTGGCAGCTTAAAAAAAAAAAACAAAAAAAATAGTGAAGCTGCCTGGCTGGCAACCGCTGGGTTAGCTGGGCCAAGGAAAGAAGAGGTGATATCCTTGGAAGAAGGCAGCCCTTTCCCACCTCCTGGATCTCTAAGTGTAAACATATATCTTATTTTCTTTTTGGACTTGGAGGTTACTCTCTTGAGATAAGCAAAAAGAGATCCTCATTTGTTTGCCAAGCTCATGACCCTGCCTGAATTCTTGTAAATGACAACTTTGTTTATTAACAGAATAATGTATTTGAGAGTTAAAGTCTCATTTTATCCAACTTTCTGATTTTGCAGATTAGGAAAGAGACCCAGAGACATTAATAGATTTCCCCAATAACAATAACATTATTTTATATCACATAGCTCAAAAGTACCATTGCCTCCATTTTACCAAAGAGGAAAGGGATGATCAGAGAGATGAAGTGACTGATCCAGGGCAGCACAGAGGGTTGGTAACAGAGGCTGGACTTGAAGCCAAGTCTCCTGATTCCCTCTGTGATGCTCTTTGATGGACACCATGCAGCCTCTGGGCACGGGAGGGGACTTGGGAAATAGCTAGGTCTGCTGTCCAGAGCCCTGCTTTATTTTCCTGTTTATACTTGGTGATCCAGAACTCTACTAAAAAAGTATATGCATTAAAAAAAGTTAAATTGCATTTATTTGTTCTTTATTGGTAAAGCACATGGTATAAAATTCAAAGGGCACAAAAGGGCATACAGTAAAAAATGGTCTCCCTCATGCTTCTGTCCCCCAGCCATCTAGTTTCCCTCCCCAGTCTCATTTATGTCCATCAGATATGTGCTATGCCTGGATAAGCAAATATATATATATGTGTAAATATTAATTATATATATAATTTTTACAAAAAATGGAATTATATTCTACCCTGCTCTCCACCTTGCATTTTAAAAAATTTGAAGGGGAAGTGCAACATGGGGGTAGGGGAGTAAGAGGTACAAACTATTAGGTATAAAATAAGTAACAAGGATATATTGTACAACATGGGGAATATAGCCAATATTTTATAATAACTATAAATGGAGTATAACCTTTAAAAATTGTGAATCACTATATTGTACACCTGTGACTTGTATAATATTGTACAGCAACTATATTTCAATTAAAAAAAAGAATAAGCAGATTCTGGGATTAAAGATATTCAGTATGGTGTTATCCAATAAACCCAATGCAAAGAATTGTAAAAAAAGTTTTGTTTTAATTTATTAAAAAATCTGATAAATTTTGGATATTAATCCTTATCAGTGCACATAGAGCTGCCTCCTTCTTTTTAGTGGCTGCAAGTATTCTGTTGAATGGCTGTGCTATAATTTACTTATCTAGTCCTTGGTGGACATCAAGGTGGTTTCCATTCTTAGGCTATTGCTATGAATACAGTATATATGTTTTTGTTTTTTGTTCAAGGGTACCTAGCAGGGCTTGGCAATCTATAACCTGCGGGCCAAATTCAATGTGCCATTTGTTTTTTTAAATAAAGTTTTATTGCAACACAGCCATGCCCACTTGCTTACATAATGTTTGTTGGCTGCTTTCAGACTACAGCAGCAGAGCTGAGTAATTGCAGCAGTGATACCTGGCCTGGAGGCCTAAATTACTCACTACCTGTTCCTTTAAAGAAAAAGTTTGCTTGCCTCTATTAGATAAATTCCTGTTGGTGACATTGCTGGGTCAGGGGTTTTGCATTCACACTTGATAGCTCATAGCCCAGTTCTCTTTGTAAAGGTTGTACTAGTTTATTCTCCCACTGGCAGCACGTTTTCCCATGTTCATACCAAGGTATCGATAGTTCATTGAACTTTTTCATCTTTGTCAATCTGGTAGGTAGAAAACAGTATTTCCCTTGATTTGTTTTGCATTTCTCTGATTTTGAGTGAAATCAAGCATCTTTTCATGGTTGGAGGAGAGGGGAGCCTCTGAGGGAAAGAAAAATAAACGTGAATTAAATTATCAGTCTTAATTCTTAGACGTGAGCAACAGAACTTACCCCATGGAACGAACCCAGCAGAGACCCTGCTGCCACTGCCCACCTGGGGATCTTCAGGGCTCTCTTCCATTCTGCTCAGAACTAGCATTTTGAGCAGCGCCTGCTTCCTTGCGTTGCCCTATTCTGGGTTTATCATCCTGCACACTATGAGCAGCTGCTGGACAGGAAGGGTGAGTTCTGGTTTCTGTCCTGGGGAAGGGGAATTTACACTGGGGGAAATTCCTACACATGGGAAGGCTGTTTGAAAGGTGAGGGTCAGCCTCAAATAAACGCCCCCAAGTGCTACCCTGGGAGGGGGGGAGGGGAACCACCTTTCAATGGGAGGGGCAGAGAGGAACCGCTTCTCTTCCCCCTGGGAGATTAGGCGGTGCTGTCCTTGGGAACAGGTTCCTTGGTGGGGTGGTGTGTGAGAGCACGGGGATCCAGCAGTTTCTTACCAGATTCCAGAGAAGCATCTACTCCTCTTGCTGGTGGGGAGGTAAGCACTGAGGTCCAGATTCGCGGGTCCAAGTGACGCATTTGCGGGGCCTGTTTTTTCTCCTGTTTAGAACGGAGAGTGTTCCTTGATCTGGTGCTAGAGGCTGGTGCTGTGTTAGGGGGACGTTGAGAGATGCAAGGGTTAGGAGCTAACGGAGTCTCTACAGTTTGTCGAATTGAAATATAAATTGCTTTGAGAATAACGCTTTCTTCCAAAAAGATAGCAAGGTTCTAAAGTTTTGTGGCTAATGAAGTCGAAGAAAGACTCCTCAACAACTAGATATGGATCTTCCTCAACTTACAATGGGGTTATGTTGAAAATATCATTTGTTGAAATGCATTTTCAACAGCACAGCTTAGCCTAGACTACCTCAAAGGTGCTCAGAACACTTAACATTAGCCTATAGTCGGGCAAAATCTTCTAATCTCTCTTATAATAAAGTGTTAAATATCTCATGTAATTTATTGAATACTGCACTGAAAGTGAAAAACAGAATGGGTTTATGGGTACAGCATGGTTGTAAGTGTATTGATTGTGATCAGGGGCTGACTGGGCACTGAGCTTGCTGCCGCTGCCCAGCATCACTAGAGAGCATTGGGCCATATATCTCTAGCCCCAGAAAAGATCAAAATTGAAAACTCCCAATACAATTTCTACTGAATCGTGTATCTCTTGCTCACCATCGTAAAGTTGAAAAATCCTAAGTCGTGGACCGTTTGTGCTTAAAATGTGGTAAGTCAGTAACTACATTTAAACATGTAAAAATTAGATTTTTAAGTTCTCGGAGAGGAACTATTGGAAATGACTGTGCTGGAAATATGCTAAATTAATTATGGTAAATCCATTGAATGGATTAGTATGTGGCTGTTAAAAGAATCCATGTGTACAGATCCATGTATACTGATACAGAATGTCTTTCAAAAAAATCGATATGGAAAAAAAAATCCATATGAGACTTCCCTGGTGGTCCAGTAGTTAAGACTTCATGCTTCCAATGCAGGGGGCCCGTGTTTCATCCCTGGTCAGGGAACTAGATCCCACACACTGCAACGAAGATCTCGAGTGCACAGCCAAATAAACAAACAAACAAATATATATATATATATATATATATTTAAAAAAAGCAAAAAATCGATAAATAGAAAAGTCAAGGTAAGGGACGGTGAGTGAGTGCCTTGAGTCAGGATTTCTGAAAGCAGAGACTGAGACAGGGATTCCTGGGCTTTTAGGGGGGATTGCTCCCAGGGGCACGAGGGATGGTGTAGTGCAGGGGATAAAACTAAGGGGATGGTCTTTTTTAAA